GTATTGAGGAGGGCACGTTCTGCATGGAGCACTGAGTGTTATGCACAAACAATGAATCATGGAACACTTCATCTAGAACTAATGATGTAATGTATAGTGATTAGCATAACAATAAAATTTTTTTTAAAAAAAGGGAAGCACTCTTGGTCCAAAGGCCCGGCAATGGGGATGAAGGGATGGACGTGCAGCAGGATAAAGCGAGGAGACGCCGCAGTCCCCTGCTATCCGCCACTGTGGGAAACCACAGTGACCTTCCAGAGCAAGTCTCTGCTTCACCTCAGCCCTGCAGACCTCAGGCAAGCTCTCTCTGGGCAAGTCTACCCCAGAGCCATAGAGGGTGAGGTGCTTGGAAACAGAGTCCATGGCCCACTTCGGGAGCAGTCATCCCAACGTGTGGCTGCACAACTCATCCAGGTCTCCCAGAGGGAGTGTAGCCCTGATGGTGGGTCTTTTTTCCTTTTGTAATGCAAGTGCCCCACAAGCCCTGACTGCTAAGCCATCCACTTCAAAGATGGCTATCTGGAATAAACAAGTCACCAGCCACTGGACGAGATAAAGAGCCAGCAGCCCCACATCACCACCCCCTGAGGCTCCTTTGCTTTAGGGATCTTGGTTGGTTTCCATAGGTGACCACTTGGGTGTCCTGTGTTTTCTCCTCCCGCGCTTTCAATTCCTACTCTCATGTTTTATTTATTTATTTAAGATTTTATTTATTTGAGAGAGAGAGAGACACACAGCGAGAGAGGGAACACAAGCAGGGGGAGTGGCAGAGGGAGAAGCAGGCTCCCCGCGGAGCAGGGAGCCCGACGCGGGGCTCGATCCCAGGACCCTGGGATCATGACCTGAGCCGAAGACAGATGCTTAACAACTGAGCCACTCAGGCACACCCCCCCACGCTCATGTTTTAAATTCACCAATAAAAGATGGGCCCAAGAAACCCTGGGTCCCCACCCTTGACCCCGATAAAAGCAGAACCCCCAGCCCATGACCTCTCTCTCTCTACTACCCAGGACATCGCTGTGTGCCTCCAGGAGCGCCTTGTAAGCTCCAGACTTGTGACAACCCCTGTCATTTCAAAGTCTGAGGGCCTCTTGCAATCCTATTAAGAACCACAAGGGCCATTCCAGCCACATCGCCGCATTATTGAGAGGCCGAGACCTGCACACTACAGTGCCCCCTGCAGGGACAAAGGACAGATCCTAGCTCCTGCCCGAGTCCCCAGTGCGGGCATCGGCACTTGGTACAACCAAGAGGTGGCAGTTAGAGCCTAGTGCCTGGGATGTGCTCCCAGGATGGGGGCAGAGCAGGCCAAGGGCCATGGGACTGGGTGCAGAGAAAGAACAGATTGGACCTGCTCCCTGCAACTCACTAAATCACAAAGTGTAGGAAAGACAGACAGATACTTACGAATAGAGACTATCAGACAGCGCCTGACTTCATAGGGACATACCCGTATAGTTGGACAGTTGAAGGTGTTGATGACCGAACAATCATGGCATTTCAAACTGTAGGTCCCTGAGAGAAAACAGCAGCATCAGGCTCCAGCGTTTTCCGCCCGTTACCAGCCAGCTACACCCTCCCCTGGCAGGTGACCCCTCCCCCCTGCCTTAAAGGACACACTGCTATAGGCAGGATTAGTTTCTGGGCAGAAGCCAGGAGTTGCTCCTGTTCCCAGAGACCAAGTGAGGGAACCCTGCGCTCTGCAGATAAGCTTCATCTGTCTAAGGAAGCCTGACAGTCCTAGAAGGCCGGTGCCCACCCAGATGTCGCTGGACTCAGCCACTCCTGCCCACTCCAGATGAGGAAGGGCCGCATCTAGAAACCCCCTCCTGACCCTCTCCTAGCTCAGGGACACTTTCAAATCCACCCTGTGCCCACCAATTGCACCGACGCCAGAGGGCTCTGCTGGCTAAGATGACAGAAATTCCACTCAAATTCGTTCTCTGACTCTGGATAACACATAAATTCTTACCGCCTCCCAGACAGCCAGAGGGGATACTTACAAGTTGATATATTTTGATTGCTGACCAATGGCCAACCAACGGCTAGGAGCAAGGCACAGAGAAGCATCATTTCTCACAGGAACTTGAACCTATAGGTGAGAAGACGCAGGGTGCATGTCAGCAGGCTCCATGTCTACAGAGCGCCCCTCACAGGATGTGTGTCTGCCGGACCCACGTGAGCAGAGAGCAGGGCTCCTCAGGGAGGGTCAGCATGCACCAGCCACCTGCACGCACCTCTCGGCTCCTCTCCCCACGTGCACCTGCATCCCCACCCAGCAGGGCCCCAAGCTGCTCCATGCTGGGACTGGGGGGGTAGGCCTTTCCCAGCAGGAAGGCTTCGTCACTCCTGCCTTCATGTTGCGGGAAGTCATCCTGCCTGCTCTCCAACAGGCAGAGTTCCGCCAAGACAGCCAGGCCCTGGGGCCGCCTCCACCTGGGGCTCACCCAAGGTCCACGCACCCCCAGATGCTTCTCCTTATGTACTCGTTGATCTCAAGAGCAACTTGGGGAAAGTGCCAGAACATTGTCCATCTGTGTGTTCCCTGCTCCCACCAGCATCTGGACAAACGTGGGGGAAGGGAAGGTGCCAGAAGCCTCACTTGCACGCGGGCCACAGTGTGCGCCAGGAACGTTCTGCTACCCAGTCCGCCTCTGCGGAATCAGGTGGCCCCGAAGTGCAGGCCACAGAGGGGCTGGGGACCCCACAGCTGAGCCCAGACCCTGGCACTCTGCTCCAGGATGGCCCCCAAGGCACCGGGCAGTGCCTGCCTCTGTACTATGTTCCCATGGGGCCCCACCTGCACCCCCAACCCTGTGTCCAGGGCCCTTCGGGAAACCGCCTCCCCTGCCCCAGCAGCTTGTCTCCCTGGATGCCCCATCTGCCTTTTCAGGGTCAGGAGCAGTCACCAGTGCTCAGGGGGATGCATCTCTGCATGGGGGTGGGGGTGTCCCCTGCCTGGAGGGGGAGCCTGACTGAGGAGGAGCCTGGCACCTGCCTGACTGGGTCTCCCTGAGGGTGAGGGAGGCCACCTGCCTGAGAGTGGGGGACACCTGTCTGAAGGGAGAGGTGACAGACCGAGGCTGTGAGCGGGTGCCTGACTGAGGGGAAGCACCTGCCTGAGGTGATGGAGTGGGGAAGGGGGGTGGGGGGATGGGGCCACCTGTCTGGGGGGCCGGCAGGGGGGGGAACCACCTTCCTGAGGGGGGTTGGCCATCTGTCTGAGGGGGTGTCCCTGGCTGAGGGGCATCCACCTGTGTGTGGGGGACCGTCTTCCTGAGAGGTGGTGGCTGCCCTTTTGAGGGGGAATCCCTGGCTGAACGTGTGGGGGGGGCCACCTGTCGGGAAGCATCCGCCTGTCTGGGTAGGGGAACACCTACCTGATCAGGGGCCACCTGTCTAGGAAGAAGCATCTGCCTGAGAAAGGGGCCGCGGGTCATGGGGGGTGAGCACCCGGCTGACGGGGGGCCGCCTGTCCAAGTGGGAAGTACCTGGCTAAGGGGGTTGCTGCCTGTCTGGGGGGAAGCACCTTGCTGAGGGGGATGATGGCCGCCTGTCTGGGGGCGGGATGAGCACTTGGCTGAGATGCACGCCGCCTTTGGGGGGGGGGGAGCACCTGCCTGAGGGAGGCTGGCCACCAGCTGGAGGGAGGAGCAGCTGGCTGAGGGGAGAGGCTGCCTGTCTGTGGGGAGCCCCTGGGTGAGGGGCGGGGCCTCCTGTCTGGGGGGGAGGCCCTGGCTGAGGTGGGGCGGCCGCCTGACTCGGGGAGCCCCGGAGTGAGGGGCGGGGCCGCCTGTCTGGGGGGAGCCCCTGGCTGAGGTGGGGGGCCTCCTGTCCAGGGGGAGTGACCGCTTGTCTAGAGAGGACCACTCTGCTGAAGGGGTGGTGGCCACCTCAAAGGGGGAGTCTGCTATGTGAGGGGGGCCAACTCTCAGTTGGGGGAGCTCCTGGCTGAGGTGGGGGGACCGCCTGACTCGGGGAGCCCCTGGCTGAGGTGGGGGGCCGCCTGTTTGCGCATGCCCCGTTGCCGCAGGGGGAGACGCCTTCCCTGTCGGCGGGGGCCGCCTGCACCCCTGCTGTCCCCACCCTGCGAGGACCCCCCCAGCCGGTGCCACCCACCCCTGGCGGTGGGGCCGGCCTGCCTCCCGCCCCAGGCCTCCGCCGCCGCTCGCCCACGACAGCCCCTTCCCACTCCGCCCTGCCGGCTCCCTGAGCCCACTGTCCGCAACGACCCATGACGACCACAGAGAACCTTCTGGAACCCTGAGCTGGCGCGGCCTGAGACCGTGGGCACAGTGGGGTTCGGAGGCACAGCCACAGCAGGTGAGCAGGAGGACCCTCGCACCACAGTCGCGCTTCCCACAGCAGGAGCACGTCCCCCAGGCTGTCTGCGTGGGCGTGGCCAACTCCCGAGGGTCTCTGCGCGTGCGTACGCGCCGGTGCGCCTGCGCTCTCAGGTTCTAGGGATTCCAGAAGTTTCGGCAGGCATCGAAGGCCCCACCCTCACAGAGCCGGGAGGCGCGAAAGGTTCCAGTAGGTTCTGGGGACTTACCTCACAGGCCCAGCAGCACGTCAGTTCACTGAGAGAAGGTTGGGTGTCTCTGGGAAGGGGGAGGGGAGGGACAGCGAGGTGGGTTCCAGAAGGTTCTGGGCGTCGCCCAGGGCGGGCCTGGGGTGGGGGGCATCCCTCTGCCCTGGGGTCTCGGCCGCACCAGGACCCCTCCCAGAACACCTCTCCCCTGGCTCTGCGCCTGCTCCTTTCAGGCCCTTTGTGCGGGCTGAATTTGATGTCCTTTTCTTCGTTTCCGAGATGGAAACGAGAGCCTGGGCTGCCAGCCCTCCGACCTTTCCTAACGAATACTGGTGGAGCCTGCCTTTCCCTCCCCGGCCCTTGGGGCCATCCATGTCGGGCTGTGTTTTGTCACCTTGTCATTACCACGCTGTCCCAAATACTTTCCATCTTCTGCTGGGAGTGCTGGGGGAGGGGGCTGCGAGGTTTGCAAGGGTGTGAATTGGCGAACGGGACGATTTCCTCCATTTTCCCTGGGACTCACGTCTTGCTCGGGCCGGTGTTCAGGAAAAGGTACTCGGAGTTTCTCGAGTCCTTTTGGATATGAAACCTCCATGCCTCCCCGCCGCAAGACCCAGCTGCAAGAGCAGGCACTGCCCGGTGCCTGGGGGGTCGTCCTGGAGTAGAGCGCCAGGGTCTGGGCTCCGCTGTTGGGGGCCCAGCCCCTCACTGCCCACACTTTGGGGCCACCTGATTCTGCGGGGAGGGGACGGGTGGGGGTTGGGTGTGGCAGAAGGTTCCTGGGTCACACTGCAGCCTATGTGCACGTGAGGCTTCCGGCATCTCCCACACTGTAGTCACCCCCTTCCCCCCACGTTTGTCCGGACGCTGGTAGGAGCAGGGAATATCTGCATGGACAACGTTCTGGCACTTTCCCCAAGTTGCTCTTGAGGTGGGAGTCAACGAGTACATAAGGAGCAGCATCTGGGGGCGCAGGGACCTCGGGTGAGCCCCAGGTGGAGGCAGCACCGGGACCTGGCTGCCTTGGCAGAGCATTGTCTGATCGAGAGCAGGCAGGAGGACTTCCTGCAAGATGAAGTCACGAGGGAGGAAGCCTTCTTGCTGGGAAAGGCCTACTGCCCCCAGTGCCTGCGTGGAGCAGCTTGGGGCCCTGCTGGGTGGGATGCAGGTGCAGGTGGGGAGAGGAGCCGAGAGGCGTGTGCAGGTGGCTGGTGCATGCTGACCCTCCCTGAGGAGCTGTTCTCTCTGCTGATGTGCAGGGAGTGTTGACACTCTCAGTGCCCCTGTGGTATTTAAAAAGGTGTGGAGGTATAGAACGTGCAGATAATTATATCAGGAGAGCTTCCTTGCAGTTCCTTTTAACGTATATCTTCGTTTCATTTATTTGGATATTTGAAACCGATGGGAGTTTATACTGCAAACGTGTTGGATATATTTTATTGTAGACTCAACACTAAAAGAAAGTTGAAGTCAATAGCGGACAAAATGTATGTTACATGTTACGTGCCTTTTCAAAACTATGTTCTGCTGTACTTTGAAAGATAATTCCTCTAGGTACAGAATTCTAGGTTGGCAGGATTTGTCTTCCAACGCTTGACATGTTTTATTACAACCCTTTTGCTTGTATGGTTTCTGATGTGAAGTGCACTGTAATTCCCCTTCTTATTCCTTTGTGCGAGATCCTTAAAGTTTTCTCTTTGAACCGAACACTCGTGGCATTTCAAATGGTAGGTTTGAACATGCCCAGGTGTAGGTAATTTGTCTCTGTGTGTGTGTGTGCTCGCATGTGTGTCCGTGTGTGTGTATGCGTGCGCATGTGTGTGAGTGTGTGTGTGCTCGTGTGTGTGTCCGTGTGTGTGTGTGCGTGCGCGTGTGTATGTGAGTGTGTGTGCGCGCCTTTGTTCGTTTTGGTCTGGTACTTGTTTTGTTCTCTAAGCTTCCAGAGTCTTCCCAGTGATGTCCGTCCACTAACACGGGTAGGCCCCTAGCCGTGAGTATTTCAGGTAATTCTTCTGTGCTATTCTCTCCTCCTTTTGGTCTTTCAACTACCTGTATGTTACTTAAAAAACACCTTCCCACAGTTCTTGGATATTCCATTCTGTTCTCTCATCATTTTTTTGTCTTTGTTTTTTTGGCTGGGGAGATTTATACTGACCTGTCTTCAAGCTCACTGAATCTTTCCACAACTGTGTCTTGAGTCCATTGATGTGCCACCTGCAGCATTCCTCATCTCCGCCACACTGGTTTTGGCTTCTAGCATTTCCATTTGACTCTCAGAGTTTTCGTCTCTATGCTCACATTGTGTATCTGTTCTCACGTGTCATCTGCTTTTTCCACTGGTGTTCTTCATGTCTGAATCCTAGTCCTGTCCCATCCCGTCCCTCTCTGATGACTGACGTCTCTGTTATATAGGTCTTGTCCTCGTGCTTGCTTTCCCTCTTCAAACTGTTTTCTTGGCTTTTGGCACGCCTTGTATTTCTGGTTGAAACCTGGACGTGTGGAGCTGGTTAATAGGAACTGCTGTAAATAGGCTTTGAGCATGAGGATTCATGTTACCTGCCTTAGGAGTGGGACTCTGTGTAATGTTTTCTGTAGCTCTAGTTCCCTTAGGTTTCACATTCTTGAGTGTCCTTGTTTCTGTCTCCTGTTGTAGCTCGCATCTTTCCTGTGCATTGCTCCTAGGACAGAGGGTGTGTTTTGTGGCACTTTCAGTTGCTATCCTTCCAAAAGAAAAAGAAAGGGCTTGGTGGCCAAGTGCTGGGGGCTGGATGTGGACTCTTGTGAGAATGGGAGACTCCCGAGGACTGCTGTTCACACCCAGCCTCCAGCACTTTGTCAAAATTGCATGTAACTGCTCCTACTGGTTTACAGCTCCAGCAGCTTCTGCTCCAGGTAAGCGTGTTTCAGGGTGGCCTGGCAGGGTCCACCAGGCTTGCCAGATTTGGAACTGTCACTTCTGTCGTCCTCAGTTCTCCGAGGGGCTACTAAATGTGGTTGGTTTTCAGTTTGGCAAGTGTTTTCTTTTGGGAATGATGGTCCCAAGCTCCTACTCTGTAGGACTAAATGCTTCGGTCTTCCTCCACCTGTTTGGATGAAGCAGAGATAATGGAACTAAAGAATGGGGTAAGAAGAGAGAGGAAAGGAGAACAGGCTCACTGGTTACACGAAATGGCCATTATTAATCATGATGATGAGCGGGAACCAAAGGGCACCATTGAAAAGTGACAACCGGCAGTAAATAGTTAAGTAGGAAAATGTGGAGAAAGAAAGCTGTTTCAAGAGATCTGAGTATAAGGTAAAACTGAAACAAAAATACAAAATTGAACTATCCAAAGAAATATTAAAAAGAACAGGGACAACACATCACACAAAGAACCAGCCAACATAATTAATATTACATATTAATATACATAATAATCATAACACACAGAGTGTCTCTGAGGGAGTTTACACCAAACGTACCAATCATTTCAATATATATCAATGGCTTAACTTACCTATTAACTGGTGTGTGGGCACGTAGGGCCGGGCCTAGGCTCGGCCTAGGTAGTGAGAGGGGTGGGGCGTGGGCGGGGTTGGTGTCAGGAAGCAGGGCCTGGAGTGGTTGGGGTCGGGGTGAGCGTGAGTAGGGCTGGACCTGGAATCTGGTTGGCATGGATGGTGAGGCATAAACTGGATTACCAGACGAGGGGATGGGCCAGTAGGTGTGCACCCTGCCCGAGAGACCACATTGCCTCCCCTGGACCCATGGGGGTGGACACATAGGAAGTCAGGCCTAACCCTGGAGCCACAGAGCTGAGCATGTGGCCTCACTCCTTGTGTCCAGGGCCAGGCACTGCTGGACATGACGATCCTCCTTGCTTTGCTCCTGGTCATGGACCTGCCACGGGTGGAGACAAATGTCACCGTGTCTGGAAAACAAGGTAAGTTTGGGCCCCTCAGCCTCCTGACTGGCAGAAGAAGGCAGGCCAGACCTCATCGGCAGACATGGCGGGGCCACCGGAAATGGACATTGCCACGGCCCCAGGGGGCTCTGGGCAGTTGGAAGCACAGGCATCGGGGAGCAGGAGAGGGTCAGGAGAGCAGCATGTGGATTTGGACACGTAATGGGAGAGCCTGTCGTCTTGGGGCTCCCCCGCCAAGGGCAGGCAGGAGTGGCTGGAATCCTGGTTTCCTCCCTAGCACCCTGCTGTCTCCTCAGTGTCCCCTCATACTGCCTTCCTGGAAGATGTCAGGCTGGGAGCCACGCCTGGCCTGGTCCTCATGGGACCTTCCAGGGCTGTCTCCGAGAACTGGAACAGCGGTGAGAGGGTGACCAGCTTCTCTCCCAGGAGCGGGTCCTGCCCCAATACAGACCCAACAGCAGGCTACTGCACAGGGGTCAGGGCGCAGGGCCTAAGAGTGTCGAGGAGGGTGTAGCTGTTGCTGGAGGAGGTTAGGTGGCCCAGGAAGGTGAGCGGGAAGGGCCCGGGAGAGCAGATGGCAAATCTGTCGAGCCGCCGAATGTGAGATGCCACATTCGTGCACGCGTGGAGGGTGCTTCTGTGAAAGGTATGGGTGCACAGGCTGGTGGTGTGGGTGTCCGGGTGCACTGGTGCGTGTCTGTGTGTGTACATGTCCGTGCCGTGAGTCTGCGTGTGGGTGTGTGAGCGAGGCACAGCCCGGGGGAGGAGGTGGGAAGCCCAGGAGAGAAGGCAAAGGACTCGAGACCCACTGGTTTTGTGCTCACTCGGAGGAGGAGGAGGATGGTGGGTGTTCATCTGATAGGGCTGGGGACTGTAACTGTCCACTTTGTTGTTATTCCTCCTTTCAGACGTAGCACTGAGGTGTCATGTATGTGAGAGAGAGAATAGTTTCAACTGCACCCATGAAACGAACTGTGGAGAGGGTGTTAAGTTTTGTTCTTCTGTTGCCGTGAGTAAGTATCTCAGTTCATACTGGGTTCACAGGCAGGTCAGTAAATACTAACAGGAAGTAGGGTCTGTCCAGTTTTTCTCAACAGGGAATAACTAATAGAAAAGTGACCTTTAAAAAAATTGGAGCGCGGACGCCTGGGTGGCTCAGTTGGATAAGCGACTGCCTTCAGCTCAGGTCATGATCCTGGAGTCCCTGGATCGAGTCCTGCATCGGGCTCCCTGCTCGCCGGGGAGTCTGCTTCTCCCTCTGATCCTCCTCCCTCTCATGCTCTCTGTCTCTCATTCTCTCTCTCTCAAATAAATAAATAAAATCTTAAAAAAATAATTGGAGATCACCCTGAGCTGAAACCAAGAGTCGGACGCTCAACTGACTGAGCCACCCAGGTGCCCCTATTTGTATTCATTTTTTTTAAGATTTTATTTATTTATTTGACAGAGAGAGACACAGCGAGAGAGGGAACACAAGCAGGGGGAGTGGGAGAGGGAGAAGCAGGCT